ACCCTGCAGTGCAAATGCCCCTCACTCTGCTTTCAGGGTTAGAAGACAAATTACTATGTAGCACCTAAGTATCAGGCTCAGGTGTATGGGAAAACAATTTTATAAACAATGTTTTCAAACTCAAATTTTTAAATACCAGCATCCACAGCAGGTCCCTACATGGGCTGCAGATTTTTCTAAGCACTTTTGGGAAAAAAGATGTGGATAGTAGATTAGTTTTACCAAACCTTTATAGGAGCCTAATAACAGCTTACCTGACCTGGGATCAGGACCTCTCTTCTGCCTCAGCTTCCTCCTTATTCGATGCCCCAGTTGATTTGGGAGTTGTTGACAGCTTGGTGCATTGACTGGAAGACTAGAGCTAGAAGCTTCTTCTTCCAGGTCAAAATAAGAGTCTGAACAAGAAAAATGACCTTTCTAGAAGTTCCCAGGCTCAGTAGTTACTTTTTTCTCACTGCAGCTGTTTGCTCTCTGCTCTCTTTCTAGGTGATCAGAGCAGAGCTAACATCTTTCTGCTACTGTGTTTCCTGGGATCCCAAAGTGGGAAGCCATATACCTTAATGTTTCTCAACCTTTTTAGGCTTGAGGCAACACGAGAAAACATCAGCTCTTAGTTTTTACTCCTTTTTTAACTATGGAAAAATAGCATGGCAGTTTTTTCTATTGCAGAGAACTCAAAAAACAAACCAACCCACAACAGGTCAGACTTTTTTAACACTATGGATTCTTATTTGAAATGGTTGGGTTTATCTTATGAATCATATTTGCACACCTAACAGTGCTAACATCTGCAGTGCTGGTGAAAGGATCTCAATGCACCCTAGTTGAGAATCACTGTCTTAAATCTACCGACCCTGTTTGATTGTTTCTCAGAGCTAATTCCAGTAATGCTTTCTTCTCTTACTCTTTCTGTCCTAGCTTCTTCCACTCGCTGCCCCCATCAGTGTTTGCCAGCAGGGCATCTCCTGCAGAAGTCCTTACCTAAACCCTAAAGAACCTGACAGCATAAAGCTACTTCTAGTAGTACTTCTCTCCTCTGAGAGCAGGCTTCCTCTTACACTTTCCATTAGCTTTGAATCTCAGTCACCTGCTGTCTGTCCTGTGATCTAGAAGGAGGGGAAGACCACTGGGGACAGGTCTTGAACCCAATAGTCAGAGCTTCCCTCTAGCAAGGAACAACTCAAAGTTGTCCAGCAAACAACTATGTAAAAAAAAAAAATGTATCTTTGATCCAAAATAACAGGTCTTATAGATTAGGCACAAGGGAAGCTGGTGTTGCAGGGTCAGAATGAAAATGACCCTGGATACGTGCTTAATTTTGTTTTCAAATTGAGTTCTAACCATTTTAGCTTTCTACATTTAAAAAAAAAAGAAATAGTGCTCTTTTTTTTTTAACCATTTAATTCCCTATATGTACACTTAGCTTTAATTCCTACGTAGCGAAGGGCCACACTGGCATTACAATCGCACCTCTAAGAAGCGTTGTTACACAGCCGCTAGAGCTACCCTTGGAGCGAGATTGTGACTTGTGAAGTCGCAGTCCTTCTGCTCCAGGAAGGACATCAACAGAAAGCAGGCTCTGCCTCCTCCTGGTTCTTTTTGCCAGATTTTACCTGTAGGAGACAGAAGCTCCTTAAAAACCACAATCCCCTTATGTGTTGGAAGTAGTAGTAAATTGCATTGGTGCAAAGACCATCTCTTAATTACAATGAGCTTCATCTGGCCAAAAGATGCTGTATACATGGGAGGAGTATACTCTTGTTCTTTGTCTCTTTCATAAATCCTCCCCTCCAGATCCTTATAACTGATACTGAAAAACTCTTTTCAAAGGCACCACGATGCTCTTGCATTTGATGGGTAATCTCGAACCTCATTAGACTTCATGAAAGGGCTGAAACACGCCGGATATTTGATACCTTGGGCCAGGCACCTGAACTCTGTTAGATGCGCTTAAATCAAAATTGTTGTGTCTAAATTTATTAGTTTTTCTAACACTTCATTGAACTCATGGCTGATAAGCTGTCTTTCATATTTTTCAGGCATCGCTTTTATTCCAGCTAGCATCTCTTATCTTATTGGAACTAATATTTTTGGGATACTCGCACACAAAATGGGAAGGTATGCTTAATTAAAAAAATCCTTTGACATATTCTTGTAATATTTCTAGTGTTTCCTAAGGCCGTTACTTAATAATAGAAGCCATTAGATTTTACTAGAAAATTATGCCAAACAGTTCATTAAATAAAATAATGTTGCTTTTTCTTTGGTTATGAACCTCTGCACTTCAGAAATAACACTGAAAAATGCAAGACTGCTTCTGTTGTCTGCATTTAACTGATGTCTAAGAAAATGTTTCTTCTTTAATAGATGGCTTTGTGCTCTGCTTGGGATGATAATCGTGGGAATAAGCATTTTATGTGTGAGTAAAATTTGTCCTAGCAACAAAACTAACTGCCAGCTCAACTCAAACTTTTCTGTATTTTGTCCGGTAGATTTTTATTGCAGTTGCTGCCTTGTGATACCTTCTAAAATATTATTTTAATATGTCCTAGTGTCCAATCCTCAGTGCCTTCTGCTTCCATTATCCTTAATAGTACTTATCTTTTGGCAGGAGATTATAGTCTTGAGGAATCAGGAGCGTAATTTTGTAGTGTTCTCATCCAGTCAATTATAGCTTACTATATTAAGATGTAATTAAATGCAATAATTACATTAACGCTGTTATGGCGCAATTCTGTGAAACAATACAAAAGAGTTACTCATGTTTTAATTTGCCTTTCTGTGCAAGCAGTTCTATAGTTCCAGACAACACACTTAATTGCTTTGAAGAGTTATTTGAGAGAAAGACAATAATGCAATTAGCAATATATGATAGGATATATTACATTTCTGAAATTTAATTTTCAGGTACCATTTGCCAAAAACATATATGGGCTCATTGCACCAAATTTTGGGGTCGGTTTTGCCATTGGTAAGTAAAATGACACGTAACCTGCTCTTTGCGTTCTGTTGCCGTGCTGAAAGACGAATAACCATCCCTGGACTCTGATCTGAATTTATCTGTAAGCTAGAAATCATTTCAAGGGCTATACTCAAAGTGTTCAGCCAAGACTCTCATTAGCTAGGCTAGTTTAAACCCAGAACAATTCCATCTTTCAAATTATCTGGCCATTTAGATCATATTTTTACAATTCCAGAGATGCATTAATTGAAAAAAAAAAGGCCTCACACACTTTTTACTATTGCCTGGTATTTACCTAGAAACAGGCACATTAGAAACAGATGTACTGCTGACCCAGTATAAATATCCTGGCATAGCTATATATACTCTTTCCGTACATTGCATATAAAATGTTTAAAAAGAACAATGCTTTTTGAATTTTTAGGGTTTTGTTATTTTCATTATAAGACACAGGAGCAGACAGATGCCTAATTTGATATCTGACGGGCTTTCTAAAGTATCTGCAGAAACAAAGAACTTGTAGTAAGCGTGGCTATTATAGTATTCATTACAAACCTTGAATCTCACACAGCCTTTGGATCTGATAAACAGCTCATGCTGTTTTCTCATTCACAATGACGGTGTAGCTCAGGTGTCATCCATGTGAAACACAGTTTAATAAGACTCCAAACTAATATAAGCCTTTGTGTGTGTATAAACATGGACAGAATAGTTTATTTCCTATAGGAACAGCTTTGGAGTGTTTTTTAAGATTAAAATCTTTCAGTTTCATTTAGATTTTTTTAGCTTATATGAAAGCTAAAGAGAGAGAAAAAATGAAAGCAACTTCATTAAATACATTTTCCCTCCTATCATCACCAGGAATGGTGGATTCTTCCATGATGCCAATTATGGGCTACCTTGTAGATCTGCGCCATGTTTCAGTCTATGGCAGCGTGTATGCAATAGCTGATGTTGCCTTTTGCATGGGGTTTGCATTAGGTAAGGACTAAATTTTCTCCTGTTTGCATTACAGTTGTGAAAAGAGAAATGAAAAAGACTTTAGGGCAGTGACAGCTCTGTTAACTGTAAAACTGGTGTGCTTCTGCAGCCTGGGATTGGTGTGCGGTGGAAATAACATAGAGCGCCAGTGAGGATTGCACGCTGCCTGCATGCCATGGCTCTGTGTCCTGCACAAGACGCATCCATGCTGCTAAAGATATTTGAAGCAAGACAGGCATTGACTACAAAAGCTGCCTGCAGTGTTGGGCCACTGCTGTACTTGAAGCTAAAGCAATGGCTATTGCAGTCTGCCTGATGAAGGGTTTCATTCTGTCCTCCCTCAGTCTACTGTGGGGGAACCTTGTGTCCAGCCTTTTGGTTCAGGGTTGGTGCAAAAAAGTGCATGAAAGGTCTGAACTAGTGCCCTTTGAAATCAATGGGAGGACCTCTATGAACTTCAGTGGGTGTGAAATTGGGACCCAGAAAAGGTTTGTGCTGAAACTTGGATTTTAAATTCATATTTACATTGCTCACCAGGCTTGTTTCTCTAATGCCTGTCAGAAATATTTTGTACTTGCAGCATTTGTAAATAAGCTTTTTTTTCTAAAAGGTCCGTCTGCTGGCGGTGCCATTGCCAAGGCCATCGGTTTCCCATGGCTCATGACAATTATAGGGATTGTGGATATTCTCTTTGCTCCTCTGTGTTTCTTCCTTCGAAGTCCTCCTGCCAAGGAAGAAAAAATGGTGAGCAGATTTTCTTTAAAATCAAAATAAACAGTATTGTCTTTCTACTTCCTTAGCACTCATTTCTCAGCAACAGGACCTAAAGGTTTTCTGATATCTCTACCCTTTCTCACACGGAGTATAAACTATGTGCTCTGTGCATAATTTGGCATTCTTTTGCCCCTTCCTCCTACCCTTTGCAGTATTTTTAACCAGACCCAATTCTTCTTTAATCCTGCAAGACGCTCAGCAACGTATGTTTTCTTGGGTTTGGAGCAATAAAGGCCCAATGAACAGTCCTAAAAAACAGTTTAATAGCTAGATTCAGTATAAAAAGCTGCACCTCCTCTGGGGTGGAAACTTAAGTTTCCATAACAGGTGTGCATGGGTTTTTGCCGTATGTTGATTTATTGGATGTCTTGCCTTCCCTACTAGCCCCAGAAAAATGTTTCATGGGCTCAGCAGGTGTTGGCTTTTTCTGTGTCCTTTATGATGAGTTTCCTCCAAGGGGCTTTACAATATATTTTACTCCCTCCCCTCCTCCTCAGTTTATCTACCTGTATGTGTTAATCTTCCTGCAGACTCAGGCTTCTTGCTGAGTTTTACCTCTCATACTGCTGCACACAAGTTTTCAGAGCCAGGCTTTGCTCTGAATACCTCTTCCATCTGTTTGGCAAGCAGTTTGGGAGTTGCCAGTCTGTCGGTGCTACAGGGGACATGATAAAACATTAGTAGGTCACACGTAGCCATCACAGGTTTCTTGCTTCAGCACTGGGGTGATCTGCAAAACCCGTGGAATCCACGCAGCATTTCTCCCCGTGCTGTACAACAGCAGGTCTAGCTCAGCCCCTCTCCCTAGGTGCCTCGGAGATCCTGCCAAAACTGAAAAAAAATGCTGTTCTGGCCCCAACTACCCTTTCAAAGTAAGAGACTTGCAGTCACTGAATGGCGAAAAACAATTGTCCACAAATCCTTGCATTAGAAATGCAGTGGCATATCTCTGAAAGGTATGAGCAGAACACAACTGATAGGAGCCTTCCTGTTTGGGGGAGGCACAAACAGCATGGAACAAAATACTCGCTGAAATCCCATCAAGCCTGGTTGCACTGGACCTGCTGTGCTGTAGAGTCTAAAGGCAATTTCCAAGAGAAGTCTTTTGACTGCTCAGTCTGATTTTTCCGGACTGCACTGGTCATTTTACACAGTGGTTAGAATTGGGCGGCAGAAAAGAGAGCTGCTGCTATTTGCCAGGCGCATGGACTTTGGCAAATGAACTCTATAACTTTGCTTCAGTCTTTGCTAGTTGCAGCTACTTGCATTTTGAAACACGTATTGGAAGACAGGAACGGGCTTGGCGAGTACCAGTATGAGGGACGAGTACCTACCAGACTGCTCAAGAGATGATTCAGGTTTATGAGTCTCTTCAAGAATAGATCCTAGCTGCAGCCAGGGAAAATAATAAGGGTTAGCAAATGGTGGCCTAAGCGCAAGCCAGAAGTTCTGGAAGACTGCTGTTTCGAGGAGTGTATCTGATGAATGCAATGCCAGAATCGTGAACAGCCAAAGTGGATTCCCACTTCCTGGAGGGAATCCTCCATTTTCAGTTATTCCTGCAGCTAAGTGCCCTTGCGGGGCGAGGGGGAGGAGGGAGCGCTTGCCATGTGAACAGTCTTGGGCTTGTGAATTTTTGAGCCTTTTAGCTTTTATAAAAAAACTTGTGCTGGTTTTACCTGATCAGACAAGTCTTCATACAAGGATAGGCAGTACATTTTTTTGATAGCTCTTCTGAACTGCTTAATTTAGCCACTCCGAGGGGAAAATGAAAACATCTCTTTCCCATCTACTCTGGTCTTTTTTCTCCTCCTTCCTTTCTCTTCCACTGACCTAATGGCAAAGGAGCGTGGAACAAAGATTACAATGGGTAAAATTCCAAGGCTGTGGCTAGGAGAATCACCTGTTTCCATTGATTTTTTTGCAGATTATCTCCAACATTTCCCACTGCTTTGAAACATAAGGCAGTAGTACAGGAGGGGAAAACAAAGAGAACCACACTAGGCAAGGAGAAAACACCACTTATGAACGAATGCCAGTTTTCACCTGCCTGTGGTGCAGATGAATTAGAAAGAATTTGTCCCATTGTGAAGACAACAAGCTTAGTTTCAGCTGCCTTTTACAGATAAAAGGCCAGAGCAACATTGCAGTCATTTCTCAAACAAGTATTTAAACTTACACAAAAATACTGGATTTTTTTAACCCTGAAACAGCATGTGTATTTTACAAGTTTATGAAATTAAATCCTGACCCCGCTGCCTTCTCTAGGGAAAGGGCCTCACTTCATATGTTTATCCAGCAGTACCTTGATTGAGGCCTATCAGTACTATT